AAGAGGCCCCCGAGAGGCCCCCAAGAGGCCCCAAGAGGCCCCCAAGAGACCCCCAAGAGGCCCCCAAGAGGCCCCAAGAGGCCCCAAGAGGCCCCCAAGAGGCCCCCAAGAGGCCCCCAAGAGGCCCCCAAGAAGCCCCAAGAGGCTCCAATAGGTCCCCAAGAGGCCCCACGAGGAGCCCGAACGACTCACACCAGGACGAGGGGCCCGAACGACTCACACCACGAAGAGCCCGAACGACTCACACCACAAGGAGGGGCCCGAACGACTCACACCAGGACGAGGCGCCCGAACGACTCACACCACGAGGAGCCCGAACGACTCACACCACGACGCGGGCCCCGAACGACTCACACCACGAGGAGCCCGAACGAGTCACACCAGGAGGAGGGGCCCGAACGACTCACACCAGGATGAGGGGCCCGAACAACTCACACCACGAGAAGCCCGAACGACTCACACCAGGACGAAGAGCCCGAACGACTCACACCACGAAGAGCCCGAACGACTCACACCAGGAAGAAGGGCCCGAACGACTCACACCAGGACGAGAAACCCCAAACGACTCAAATCACGAGGAGCGCTTTCTCTCCCTCCTCCTCCGCCTCGTCCTTCTCCCGCTCCCCCCACAAGGAGGATGTGCAAGGAGGCGGGAGGAAGGAGGAACAGGGGAGATATGCGGGGCCAAGCGGACACACGCCTGAAAAACACGACTGTCGGCATGCTTCGCAAGAGTTGCTGCTGTGAGATGGGCTGGTGGGGATACGCGAAGCGTAAAGAATTTTTTTGGTTCAGGATTGGTATCCTTGCGCTTCGGCTGCAAGCGCAGAAACTCCAGGCACCCTGGCCCAAGCGGCCCGGCGATTGCAAACGTCGAGCAATCTGATATCGCGAAAACGCGAGCCCCCAGCCTTGCGCATGGGGAAAGGCGACGACTTCCCATCTTGAAAAAAAGCGCTGCGCCCATTTGACTCGAGCCCGGGGGCGAAGAAACCCGGGGCACCCTCAATGCAGCAGCGCTTCCCTGGACATCGGGCAGGCGCCCCGAATGCGCCGGCGACCAAGTCAGACTGACAGCGGCGCCGTGGGAACAGCCAGTGACGGGCAACGAAGCCGAAGGTGCCCAGGGTGCCCTGGCCTTTTTGTAATTTCTCCGAGATTGCGGCGACATTCCGCGCCGAACGCCATCCATGGACCCCCGGGGAACCCCAGCGAAAAGCGTTGTGTTTCGTGTCATCGGACCCCGCTGTAGCACGGTCGAAAGTAGAACTGGCGCATCACGGGCGCGAAAGCGCGGCCAGCTTTCTCGCCCCCGAGCAACGCGACAGCGGTTGGGCAGGCGATTGCAAGAGCAAGAGACAGCGCGCTGCGCTGACCTGCTGTTCGAGCAAGCGGAGGAGGAGGAAAACGAGGAGGTGGAGGAAGAGTGTTTTTTCTCCCTGAAGCAGCGCCTTCTGCTTGGCCCCCGCCGATCGCGGGGCCCGTCTCGAGGCGCTGGGGACATCGGGGCGGCTCGACCGCGCCGTCGAGCTCGGGCCCCCCTCAACATCATCGAAAATGCTGAAATCCGCGAAGAGGTCGGCGCTCCGCAAGTCACGTTCCGTCGCGGCATGTCCACCTGAGCAGACCTTCCATGCTGGGCAGCGGCCGCCTCCTCCGACAGACCGTCGAATAGGCCCGACCCGCGACCCGCCCCCCGAGCCTGCGCGCCGGCATGTCTACCTGCAGCCGCCGCCCCCCAGACCAAGCCACTGCCGCCGCCGCCCCCCTGGCCGCCGAAGCCCCGGCCGCCGCCGTCGCCCGACGCCGCCGACCCCCGGCCGCCCAGCCGAAGCCGCCGCCGGGGCCTTCGAAGTCCCCCCGCGCGATGTCGTGGCCGTCGTCGAAGATCGCCGAATCGGTGGTATCCAGCTCCTCCTTCGTCGGGATGCCGCCGTCCACGCGGTGCGCTTTGTCGAGGATGATGGGTTCCTGCTTCTCTTCGGTCGATAATGTTGCCCAACCGCTGCTCCTCTGCGCCGTTGCCGCCGTCCGCGTGGAGCGCCTGGTCGATGGCGACCTCCCGGTTTCCCATCGCGCCGACGCTGCCGTCGGCGTGGAGCAATGCCGACGATGGGTGCCGTTTCTTCCTCCCTCGCCCCGTCGTCGCAAGCATCGCAGTGCACCCCGTTGATGTCGATGTCCTCCTGTTGCTTCTTTGCACCGTCGCAGCCGTCCTTGTAGAGCACCTGGTCGGCGATGGCGGCCTGCCGCTCCTCCTCCAGCCCGCAGGTGCCGCCCTTGAAGCGCGCCTGGTCGACGATGTCCTCCTGCTCCTCGTTTTTCAAGGCGCCGCCGTCATCGTGGTGCACCAGGTCAACGATCGCATCCTGCTCCTGCAAATCCACCTGCAGATGCGCCGCAAGCTCGGGACCAAAATCGCGAACATGATCAGCTGGAATGTCGCAGGCCCCGGTCGTCTCCATCGCCGAATTGAATGTCCACGTCGAGGCGCCGTGAGATATCGGCGTCAGCCCAGGTGTGTCGAATGTCCAGGCGCCCTCAAACTCCTACGAAAACCCCGCCGACAATGCCGAGCAGCGTTGGCCCGCCGAGCGATCGTAACAGCGCGTAGCGGCTGACCAACTGGTGAAACAGATTGCGTTCTTCAGCCCACCTCGCAGCAGTCCGCGAAGCACGGGCGCGCGGGGCGCCATAAACCATCTCCAAACCAAGCTGCATCAAGAGCCCACGCCTGAGGTCAGCCAGCCGCAAGGCCACCTCATCAGGATGGCGGGAATAGCGGGCCGAACCATGTGGCAGTCCCGCGCCCGCAACGCCGCGCAGCAGACCTCCTGGAACCCGGTGCAGGATCGAATCGACATCTGCGATCTGCGCGCCAGTGGGTCCTCAAGGCACCGAGCGCGCAGTTGAGCAACATGTGGCCAAGAGGAAAAGAACACCTCCAGGTCACAGGCGCACAGTCAAAACGCAGCACACCCCGCGAGGGAAAGGAGACCTGGGCCATGCGGCGCGCGGGCAAAGGTGGCCGAGGAACACAGGAAGCGGGAATGCCGCGGAATGGCTTGAACCAACATGGCTACGGAGGAGGAGCCACGCCAGTCGGCGAGCCTGGTTCGTCCGCAACAAGACGTGACACTATCGCAGCAAGACTTGGAGCCTAGGGTCCCTGCGGATGGTTCCACGGATGCGACCTTGTATGATCTGCTGTGCATGCTGCCGAGAGACAGAGGACAGGGAGAGACACCGACAAAGTGGCGACGGAGGAGGCGGAGGAGGAAAACGATGAGGACGAGGAGGTGGAGGAGGAGGAGGAGGAGGAGGAGGAGGAGGAGGACGAGGGCGCGCGAAAGGGGAGAGGCGCGACAAGCGGGGACGCGCGGCGGCGAGGCGGAGCGAGCGGGAGAGGGACGAGCGACGTGGAAGGACGACCGACGACACGCGAGAGGGGAAGGCACCCAGACATCAGGCGTCTCGAGAGAATCGGGCCGGAATTTGTTCGTAATTTTCGGCCTCTCCGGGCCCTCGCCGGGCCTCGGGGCCGTCAAACGATGGTTACGGGCCCCTTAGCGTGGGTCCGAGCAGATGGGGTCGAAGAATCGCCGATGCATCGCCGACGTCGGCGGTGCATCGGCGAAGCCAGCGCGGGGAAGCACTGTCTCCACATCGGACCGCATCGCCGATGCATCGGCGATGCGGCGCGATCCTCCGACCCCATCTACTCGGACCCCATCTAGGAGGAGGAGGAGGAGGAGGAGGAGAAGAGGAGGAGGAGGAGGAGGATCTATGAGATCCAACGGTTCTGGAAATTGTGTCGGGCGCCGCGGCCTCCTCCGAGCGGTCCAGAGCCCTCCGCTCAAGGACGACTCGGTCCCTGCCTTTGACACGGCCCGACAGTCCCCAGGGAATCGACGAGCACCCTCGAGGAGCCGACGAGAGCCGACGAGATCGTCGGCGACCGCCCTCTGCAAGGCGAGGGCTGGGGGAGCCGCCTGCCGCTATGCCCCCCCGCTACCGCTGCCCCTGGGGGCCTCCGCCTCCTCCTCCGGCTCCTCCCTCCTCCTGCTACACGCTCGACCGGCAGTGGCTGGATGGCAGTGGCGTCTGCACCACCTCCTCCTCGCCTCCTCTACCATCCTCCTCCCTCCCCCCCTCCACCTCCCTCCCCCTCGCTCCACTCCCCCTCTCCCTCCTGCCCCCTCCTCCCTCCCTCCCCAGACCCCCGACGTATTTCTTCATGACGTCGACCCCAGAGGTCTGGACCCCTTCCCTGGGACCAATTTTTCATCCCGAGCCGTTTTTTGATGGCCCCGAGCCCCGGCGAGGGCCCCGAGTGGCCGAAATCACTGAAAAACCTCCGTCTCGATTTTCTTCGAGACGCCCGATGTCTGGGTCCCTCCATCCTCCTTCCTCATCCCTCCCGCCCTGGAGTTAGGTCGGGCATGTCCTCCTACGTGCGGATTTGGGACGAAATATAGAAACATACTAGTCATATGCAGAAATGTTCAAACATTGTTTTGCATATTTCAGGATATGTTTGACATGTTCTGGAAATTTGACTAGTTGGCTACTTTGGGATCGGGGGCGGCCAAGAGGGGGGGCGTCCAAGAGGGGGAAAAGCAAATCATGGCCAGCGGCATGTGCGCGGCCCAGGGGGGGGGGGCAGGGACGTAATGAAATAGGAAGAGGCGCCATGAATCTGGGGAAATATCATGGCCCACGCCATGATATCCACCCCCCCTGTCATCACCCCCCTCTTTGGGGGGCGGAAAGATACGGATACGTGTTGTCCCCGGACCTCTCTTGGGGTGCGTTCTGACCAGAATTTCGAGGCGAATCCAGCGGTGACAACGAGGATTCCCCAGGAGGACCAGGAGAGGCCAAAAACGAAGGGGGACAACACGTGTTCGTATCTTTTTCTCCCCCGACCTCTTCTCCGCCCCCGAAAGGACACGCCCGACTTAGCCCCGGAGGCCAAGCCGGGGCCGCGAGGGCGCCGCCTGCAGCTCGCGCCGCCACCGTCCGGGGACGCCCACCGCGCCGTGCGGGAGGGCGGCGCCGAGCGCCAGCCCGGCTTCGGGCTCGGCGTCGTGGAGCCAGTGCCTCCTCTGGGGGGGGGAGAGGTCCTCCTCCCTCCTCCCTCCCTCCCCTCCCTCCTCCCTCCTCCCTCCCTCTCCTCCCTCCCTCCCTCCCTCCCTCCCTCCCTCCTCCTCCCTCCTCTCTCCCTATCCCTCCTCCTCCTCCTCCTCCTCCTCCTCCTCCTCCTCCTCCTCCGTCCCTCCCTCGCTGCCCCCCCCCCATTCCACCCTCTCGGATGGCCAACCCTCCCGATTGCCGCCGCCGCTGGTCCTCATCTGCTGCCTGTGGTGGATCTCCAGCGGGTCCCGCACGCGTCGAACTGGCATCGTGGGGGGGGGGCAGGGCTCGAGCTAAACAGTGCATTCGTTGTCGTGCTGTTCGCGTTCTCCCTCGGTCTGCCTTCGTTCCGCCACTATCGCGAGACAAAATCAGAACGGACAAACAATAATCGGTCCACGAAACCGCGAAAACACCGTTTAGCTCGAGCCCTTTGGGGGGGGGTGAAGGGGAGGGCGGAGAGGGCCGCCTCCCACTTTCCCTCCTCTCCCTCTCCTCATCCTTCTCCTCCTCCTCCTCATCCTCCTCCTCCTCCTTCTCATTTTTTTCTTTTTCGTCTTCTTACTAGCCTTAATATTTGCATTAATATCATTGCAATTGTGAATCCGCCGATCCGGCGTGTGAGTTTCTGAGAGCGTGGACTTGAGCTCGCTCAAGCTTCGCTCTGCAGGAGGGGGGGGGCGTACGTTATTTCCGACGTCATTTCCGACATTTTTCGGTACCTGGGGATATTTCCGACGTCATTTCCGACGTTTTTCGGTACCCGGGGACAGGGGGGTATAGACAACTCCACTTCTGGAGCCTCGACCGTCCAAGACAGCCCAAGAGGAAGCCAAGAGACGCCCCAGAGGCCCCCTAGACAATGCAAGAGGGCCCTGAATCGCCGAAACATCGATCGAACCGCCCAAGATGCCCCGAAGACAGTTCCAGAAACCACCAAGACGTCCCCAGGACATCTCGCTCTCACCCCCCCCGGATCGGCGGCACTGGCCGGAGGCCAGCCCAATATGATTATTATTATCCTCCTCCTCCTCCTGCTCCTCCTCCTCCTCCTCCTCCTCCTCCTCCTTCTCCTCCTCCTCACCTCCTCCTCCTCCTCCCTCCTCCTCCTCCTCCTCCTCCTCCTCTCTCCTCCTCCTCCCCCTCCCCCTCCTCCCCCTCCCCCTCCTCCTCCTCCTCCTCCTCCTCCTCCTCCTCCTCCTCCTCCTCCTCCTCCTCCTCCTGGAGGGCCCGACGTGGGTGCCACAGAGGCCTACGCAGCTCTGAGGCCGAGGGGCAGAGGCATCATTCTCTCCTCCCCCCGTGTGGCGGGCCGACGTGCCAGGCCACGGCCACGGAATGGTGGGCGTGTTGATGGTCCGACGCTTCGTTTCGACAGTGGGCGGAAAAGGGGGGGAGGAGGGAGGCGGGAGGAGGAGGAGCAGGAGGAGGGGGGAGGAGGGGGGAGGAGGAGGCCAGCGGCCAACACAAGCACAGGCTTCGAACGCCTGCGGCAGGCGCCGGGCGTTTTCCTGTCCGACGTTTCGACATTGGGCGGAAACGGGGGGGGGAAGGGGGGTCTGGCACCCGACCTCTGCTTTGGACGCCCGGAATGGGTGCGGAAAAAATGGGCACAATGCCCAACAACAAATGTTGTTGTCCCAAACCAACAGCGGCTGCTGTTGGGCAGGCGGCCTTCTGTCTCAAATGGACACAGGCTGCGGCGGCGCGGACAGCGAGCCCTGTTCAAGATGAACAGGAACTGCTGTTGGGCAGTGTACCCCTTCTTTCCGTGCCCATTTCGTTCGTGCCAATCTGCTTGATGCGACTGTTTGTAGCAGTGCGTCCTATGGGGGAGACTCCGCCTGCTCAAAGCAGGCGCCCAAAAACAGCCAAGATCTGCTCCACACGGGGGGGGGATTGGCCGGGTACGAGGGCCCGCGCCGATCGGCAAAACAACGGATAAAATATGATAATATGCCAGAATGGCCCATGTCTCCAGCCTGTTAACAATAATACGGGTCCGTCCTTTATAATCACCCCCCAAACGTGTGGAATATCTTGACATGATCAGCTGGTGTCTCTGGCCTACGGTGTTGAGCACCACCGAGAAGAGAGTTCGATGCCGCCTATATGAAATCATGCAGTCATGCCACATGTTGTATTAATCGCGCTTTGCTGGCATCGGTTGGCCTTGTAGCTTGGTCATGCTCATGCTCATAGTCGAACTCCCCCCAAGACGAAGCCAGGACGAGCATAACACGGGGTGAGGATAACTCGAGAATCTCTGAGATCTGGCGGCTCTGGAGGATGCCTCGGGCGCCGCGGCATTCTCAGAGCGTTCCAGCACGCTCTGGGAGCGTCCCGGAGCGCTCCGGGAACGCCGTGCCGAGAAGGCAGGTCGCCACCAGGGCGGGGGGGGGGCCTCGCCGCCTCCCCCCGGAGGAAGGGGCGCCCCGCCAGGACCCCCCCCCCCGCCAGAGCCTCCCAAGATCGTCCCCACATCTGTTTTCGGCTGAGCGCGTCTCTTCCTGATGGCCGCGGTGCACCTGGCCATCGCTCGGACGTCCATTGCCTGTGCTTTTTCGGTTTCGTGCGTGGTTCCTTCGTCAAATGATCGAGGATGCTCCTCGATGGTCCTCGCCGAAGGAAAAATGCACACGTCCGAGCGATGCCAAGTGCACTGGCTGACGAGTGGATCGGCCAGTGATCGGCGCGCGCGCCCCCTTCGCCTCCTCCTCTCCGGGGTCGCTCCGCGTCCTCCGCGGCCCGCCTCGCTCCTCGAGCCTCTGGGGGCAACTGGCGGGCCCCCTGGCGGGGAGCCTCCCGTGCAGCGCCCGATTCTCCACTCGGCGACACGCGAGAGTGACCCCGGGTAAGAGTGGCATTCCCAGACATCGGGCGTCTCGAAAAAATCGAGACGGAGGTTTCTCGTCGTTTTCGGCCTCTCAAAGCCCTCGCCGGGCCTCGGGACCGTCAAAAAGCGACTCGGGATGAAAAACCGGTCCCGGGGAAGTGGTCGGGAGGTCGGGGGCCCGTGTTTCGAAAAAATCGAGACGTCGGATGTCTGGGTTGGGTGCGCGGCTTTTCGGGGGCCGCGGGGGGGGGGGGGGGGCCACAGCAAGCGCGCACGACGCCACTGCCGCCACGCGTTCGGCGATCGGGGATCCCCAATGGGCCCGCACCGAAGGTTACTCCGGCGAAGCGTCATCGGGGGAGGCCAAGAGGGGGGGGGGCGCAAATCATGGCCGGCGGCATGTGCGCAGCCCTAGGGGGGCGCAAGTCATGGCCGGCGGCATGTGCGCAGCCCCAGGGGGGCCAGGAAGGTAATGAAATAAGAAGAAGAAGCGCCATTAAGTCTATGGAGATCTCATGGCCCCCGCCATGGCATGCCCCCCTCCCCCTAATCATCACCCTCATCTTTGCCGCCCCCGGCTTACGTGTAGTCGATTCCCTCACCCGCCCTCCGACCGGGATCGTGGGCGTCCCGGACCATGGGCACCGCGACCTTCTGCACGCCTCCGGGAAGGCGGCTCTGCAGGATGCTCCTGCGAACCTGCACCGCCATCCCCGCTTTGCCCCGACGGCTGGCGGCCTGCAGGACGGGGGTTGCGACGACGACGGCGTCACGGGCCAGGATGTTCGACTACACGCAAGAGTGGCCCTACGTACTCGGTGTTTCTTGGTAAGCGTGGGGGGTATCCCCCCGACGAGGGTCAACCTCGCCTCGTCGTCGCGCCGCGGCGGGGGTCGGCGCACCTTCGGCGCGCGGTTGCTACCCGCGACGGGGGTCGATGTAGGGCTGTCGGCAGGGGTGACGCCCCCCCGACGCTAATGAAGGAACTCGGAATAAGAATGACCTTTGGTGCGCGGCTCCCCGGGGGCCGCGGGGGGACCAAACACGAGCGTGCGAGACGCTGGTATACCATATGCCGCATCGCGCTCGGCGATGGGGGGGCCCCAATGGGCCCGCAGCAAAACAGGTTTTTCTTCCCGGGTCGTTTTTTGACGGCCCCGAGGCCTGGTAAGGGCCCCCCGAAGGCCGACAACAGTGAAAACCCCCCGAAGAGGGTCTGGGAAGGCCACTCCGGCGAAAGGCCACTCCTGCGTCCAGCCGAAACATGAAGCCCGGGAAGGCTTCGGGGGGGACCCTCTGCAGCGGCCTCTGGTCCAGGGGGTGCGGGGCAGCCGAGGTCGGAAGGGCTCGCATCGGGGGCTCGGGTGCCGGCCGGGGGCGGGGCGCCTCACCCTCCCCGGGCCGAAGAAGCCTGCCGAAGAGCAGCCCCCAGTGATGGGCCTGTTTCCCCCGCCACCACCACAGGCAGGAGAGGGAAGAGAGGCGGAGGAGGAGGAGGAGAAGGAGGAGGAGGAGGAGGAGGAGGAGGAGGAGGAGGGGGAGGAGGAGGTAGGAGGAGGAGGAGGAGGAGGAGGCGGGAGGAGGAGGAGGAGGAGGAGGGGGAGGAGAAGGAGGAGGAGGAGGAGGAGGAGGAGGAGGAGGAGGAGGAGGAGGGGGAAGAGGAGGATTCGCTGAGGATTCGCTCGCTGTCGGCTTGTCGAGGCGGCCGAGGGCGCGGCGACGAAACCCTACGAGGTCCCCGTCATCCCAGGCTTGTCCTGGGCAATCGAAGGCCTCAGAGAAGCTGATTCGTGGTGGGGTGCTTACCTTTCCGCCAACGATTTAAACGCCAAGCAATGACCCTAGGAGTACCCCCAAGGCAACTGGAAAACAAGTCTGGCCATTGATCCATGGCGTACCTGGTTCACAATACTACTATTGGCAGGCACGCGGTCTGGTGGCCTTCAGCTTGGGCCCTCCGGATCCGTTCTCCGAGCTCCACGGGGGGCGCAGGGGGGGGGCCACGGGGCCAAGCGGGGGCTGTGGACGGCCAGGCGGGCCCTCCACTGCCCCACTGGGCGTCGGGGGGGTGTGGGACAACCCTGGGCCCCACGGGGCTCGGGGCTCTCGGAGGTGTCCTCGAGCCCGTGGCCGAGGACCCCGACGTGTCCGGCGAATTCCAGGATGTCTGAAACCAACCTATATATCTGGATGCATCTCGTGCTGCTCGTCCAGCTGCACGAACGCCCAGCCTCCTCGCCGAAGTGCTGGGTACTCACCGTGCAGGAGAAGGCTGCCGTCGGTGTAGACGTCCCCGTGTACGAAACAAATGAATTCACCCTCCACAGCGCTGGTGTCCATGGAGGGCAGGTCCCACAGCTTGAACTCCTTCGCGCGGTCTGGCGCCAGGCCCCGCCCCGAGAGCGCCTCGGATGCAGCCCGCTGCGCCTCCGTCGCTCCGGGCCATCTGGCAGCCCCACGGTGGCATATGTGATGCCCTCCGGCTGCCCTCCTGTGTTCAGCTCGGGCCGCGCACACGAAGGTCCTGTGGCGGTCCGTCCCTGCGCTCTTGTGGCACGCCTTGCAGATATTGTCCTAGAGCCGCTGCTGCGGCCAAGTGCCTCCGCTCCAAAGGCGGCGCACTCTCGTCTGGTGCTCTAGCGTCCATCGGCCAGTCTGCTGCCTCTTGAGCAACGTCTGCACGGTCTCGACGAAGAGGCTGCTGATGCCGTGCGTCTCCCCGTGCTTGGCGAGCCCCTTCTGCTTGAGGCTGTACTCCATGGCCCTGCGGCTGCGCTGCTTCAGCTCCCTGATCGGGAGCGTGTGAGGTCCAAAACCTCCTCGCCGATGGTGCTGCTGTGGGCTGCTTGCGCCAGGGGAGGAGGAGGAAGGGGGAGGAGGACGAGGAGGAGAAAAAGAGGGTGAGGAGGAGGAGGCGAAGGAGGAGGAGGAAGAGGAGGAGGAGGAGGAGGAGGAGGAGGAGGAGGAGGAGGGGGAGCAGCGGGAGCAGCGGCAGGACGTCGCGTCGGCCAGGCCAACTAGACGCAGCACAGGCGGCCAGGGGGCCGCAGCCTCAGGGGAGGCCAGTGATGCCGATCACGTCGACGGACGCGAACGTCGACGGACGCGAAGGGCCGGCGCGCTGGGGCCAGACCGCCGCGCAGCGCCGTGCGGCGAGCCGCTGGGGCCAGAACGCCACGCAGCGGCTGCCCGTGCCGAGGCCGACCCTCAACCACTTCTCCGTCGCCTCCTGCGTCCCGCATTCCACGGCACCGAAGGCGCTCTGAGCGGGCCAATGGGCGGTGGCTGCCCTTCCCGCCGCAGCTCGGCCAGCCACGTCCGCAGGCACACGTAGTCGTGGCGCCGCATGCAGTCCGACACGATCCTCTGCGACCGCGTCAGCGTGTGGCGCCACCTGTAGTAGGCCCGCCTCGCGGGCATGCCAGTCCCCCAGGCCCGCTCGCAGATCTCCTCGGCCATCTCCTCGGCCGTCCTCCCACGCGCCCGCAGCCTGGTGGCGAAGCGCGGCTGGGACAGGATCTGCGTGACGTAGCCGACGCAGTGGTCGAGCCACTCGCTGTAGCACTCCATCGTCTCGCCGACCTCGGGAGCCTGGGTCCAGTACCGCGCCCATCCAGCGACCTGCAGCTCAAGCCTGGGCGCGACGCTGCGCCTCGGCTGCGCTGGCTCAGGCCGAGCCACCGCAACTCTGCCAGCACTCAGGGCGGGGCCGCACACACGGTCGGCACTTGCAGGTCCCCTGCCACCCCTGGTGCTGGCCATGCACATGCCGTCGCGGTCCGCGTCGCTTCCTGGGCTCAGGGCGGGGCCGCACTCACGCACGCACATTGCAGGTCCCCTGCCACCCCTGGCCCAGGCCGTAATCCGTCGCCGCTCGGGGTGGGTGCTGGTGCTCAGGGCGGGGCCGCACTCAGGACCGCAAACTGCAGGTCCCCTGCCACCCCTGGCACCAGCCGTAGCTGCACGTGGACACGCCTCCCCAGAAGCCAGCTGCGGCTGCCGCTGGTCCTCCTCAGGCGACGCCGCTTCCAGAGACCCGCTGCCAGTGCCCAGGGCGGGGCCGCACACAGGACTGCACTTTGCAGGTCCCCTGCCACCCCTGGCGCTGGCCATGCCCTTGCCGTCGCGGTCCTCGTCGCATCCTGGGCTCAGGGCGGGGCCGCACTCACGCACGCACATTGCAGGTCCCCTGCCACCCCTGGCCCAGGCCGTAAATCGTCGCCGCACGCGGTGGGCCTGGCTGCCGTCGCCGCCAGTGCCCAAGGTGGGGCCGCACTCAGGGTCGCGGCTTGCAGGCCTCCTGCCACCCTTGTCACTGGCCATGCCTGGCAGCGCCCGCTGCGAGTTGTCAGACCTGCCAGCACTCAGGGCGGGGCCGCATTCGCGACCGCACTTTGCAGGTCCCCTGCCACCCCTGGTGCTGGCCATATCGGTAGTCGAGAACGGCTGCGGCGGGCTGCTCATGTCCTGAGGGCTGGTCACGGCGCCCTCCTGGTGGTCCGTGGTCAGCGTCACCTCGTGTGCCAGGTCACACCTCAAGGGCGCAGGCAGCCGCGACGGCCCCGCCGCCAGACAGGCATCGACCACCCCCACGTCTGGGGCAGCTGGCGGCGGCTGGAGCGTCACCAGTCCAGTGGTGCCCCCGTCGGGGCATTGGTGCGCTCCATAGGCCGAGGGCAAGCTGCCGTCGGCCATGTCTCCCTCATCACGCTGCGCGCCGCTGGCGGCTGCTGGACCACGTTCGGCTAGCAGATGCTGCTGCCTTCGCTGCATCCGTTCCAGGAGCTCCTGCCGTCGCACCCGCCAAGCAGGCTTCTTGGTCTGGACTGCGTCGGACCCTCCAGCCCCTGCAGGCACCTCGCGCGTCTCGTGGTCCTGGCCAGGCCTGGTCGCCTCGCCCTGTTCCTTCTGCGCGTGCCTGCCGCTTGGCCGCTCTGCAGCGCCGTCGCCCCCAGAGGCCATGTCGCCCGCGGCCGCGCTGGCCGCCGCTGTGGCCCATGTTCTGGGGCCGTCTGGAGCCTCGCCTGCACCTCCCCAAGTGAGCACCTTTCCTGTCTTGGGGTGCAGCCCTTGGCTGAGCTTCTTGAGCCGCGCCCTGAGGTTGGACAGGTAGGTGCGCTGGTTCTTGCCCTCGGCGCTGGGCGGGCCAGCGCAGGGCGCAGCCAGGGCCAGTGAGGAGCCTGTCGCCGCCCACGCCACGCATACCTCGCAGTAGATGGTGGGCCCTGCGCGCCTCAGCCTGTGCCCCTGCATCTCGATGGTGCCGTCCCCTGAGCCCCAGGGGGCAGGCTCGGCTGGCCTGGGCCCCGCATCTTCGGGGCACGCCGCGCGCTCGATCGCCTGCATAGCGAACTCGCCCGCCTCCGAGACCACAATGGGCTGCGCGCCGACGTGCGCGATGATGGCCTCGGCCCGCAGCGCGGTGTACTGGCTGGCCTCGCAAGCTGAACGCGCGAACTGCGTCCATGTGGGCCCCGTCTGCCCGCTGGTCTGCCTGCAGCAAGCGCGGCACAGCACCACCGCCGTCCCGTTCAGGCGAACCAGGGAGTGGCTGATCACAGTCGCCGCCTGCACCTTGGGCACCTTTGGCGGGCGGGCTGTCTGCTCGGGCGCATCCCAGCGGCCTGCGTGCATCGTCCTCTGCATCGCCCAGCCGACGTACTTTGCCAGGCTCTTGTAGTGTTGCAGCTCGATGCTGTAGAACTCCTCGTACACCTTCGACACGGTGTGCTGCATGGCTCCTTGCCGAGCGAACCAGTCGGCCCACGTGTTGCCAGAGTACAGCAGCG